AGTTCAAGGATCCGTACATCTGCGCCTCAGCCCTCCTCCGTGCAAGCGCGGATTCGAACGTGCGACCTCGGCCTCGGCCTCACGGCAAGTCTCTTAACCACTACAGCCAGGACATGGTGTTCAAAAGTGGAATTGTACCGGTCGTGATATCCACCCCACCCCTGCAAGGAGGCTGTAGTGTCCAACTAAACACACACCACACACAATACCCACACGGACGCACCACACAGACGCGGCAAGTCTCGCACACGTCCCTTACATCAGCACGTAACCCCCCACTGGTACGTGTACCCGGTCACTAGCTAGCTCAGTTGGTACACGCATGAACTGTTGAAATACAGACCAGAGTTCAAACTCCACCGGGAGCAGACGAGGAGTGAAGTACCGCTATTCTGAATTATAAGCCCGGTCAGTTTGATGATGATATCTCAAGGGCATCGCAATACATACAAAAAAAAAGAAAAAAACAACAACAAATGTACCGTTCAATGATAACTCAGTGTAGTGATTTGCGTGCGAACAGACTACGCAACCTCAGAAAGATCCTGTCTGGAGTCCCCAGAGCATACCGAAAAGGTTGCCTTTGTTTGTGAGGGACACCGGACCCGGTTTCCAGCCTGTGTACCACACAAGCCTTTTTTTTTTTTTAATTCAAAAGCCCAGGGTGTTGTGTAGAGGCCGGTTACTAGGCACACATTGATCGCCAGTAGCGGTCAGCCATGGTCGTCCTGAGGGACCGAGGCTACCTTCCCATTACAAAAAAGAAAAGGAAAAAAAAGGGTATTATACAAGATCATAGTGGAAACATTTGCTAAAACTTAAAAGTTGGTAACTAGGCCACAAAAGCATTTTCTAAGGCTATTTTTAATTTCAAATTTTACAAAAAAAAAATTAAAAAAATCAAATTTGGTAAAGAATAAGGAAATGTCACGGAGGCAAAAGTCATTCAGCTTATGTTTGTACATCACGTAGTCTTTTCCGTACTTTTTTAAATTTGTTTTCCTTTTTTTGCTTGGCCCTTCCCTGGTCCTTGCACGGTCGTGCTGCCCGCTCGAACAAGGTGGGCCGGACGGCACAGCTGGTAGGCCAGAAAATCTTTCTCTGTTAGCTTTTGTCCATTAGCGCATTGACAAGGGAAAAATCAACGTAAAAGATTTGTTGTTGTTTCCACTCTCATAACAGTTCTGGTAGTGTACACTTTTGATAAATCTCAATTGTTCCCTAAAGGTTGAATCTAACAATACATGTCGAATTCCATCGCTCGTATGAAGATCACCCATTCATTGTAGCCCATGAAGTATTCTCCCTCCCGAGCCTCCTCTAATGGAGATCACCCATTCATTCTACCTCAATAGATTCCAATTGAAACCAGCTATCACCAAGTTTCATTACCCTTGCCAGACGGTTCAATTATGTCTACATTGTCTAGTGTGTGTGTGTGTGTGTGTGTGTGTGTGTGTGTGTGTGTGCATGCCTGTGGGTGTGTGTGTGTGTGTGTGCGTGTGGGTGCGTGCATGGATGTGCGTGCATGTGTGCGTGCATATGTGCATGCATGTGTGTGTGTGTGTGTGTGTGTGTGTGTGTGTGTGTGTGTGCGTGCGTGTGCATGCGTGGGTGGGTGCGTGTGTGCATGTGTGTGTGTGGATGTGTGTGCGCGTGTGTGCGTGTGTATATGTGTGTGTGTGGCCTTTCCGTTGTTCCAATCATGTCTAGTTTTCACTTGAGGTTGCCAGACCATTTACGTTTATCTCACCTCATAGGGAAACACGTTATACGACTACAATTTCCATCTCCATACATACGCTAGATCGAATCAATAGACTTGTCGACTGTCGGCTTCGCCCGCACAGAATGACCAGTCAGTATAGCTGGATTTGGGGCAACATTCAGTCTACATCCAGCGATAACAACCCCACATTCTATTCGGGTGAGGATGGTATGGGTATGTCACGGCACTCACTTTGGATGCTAACTGGATCGGATTCCACCCGTAAATTGAAATCTTATATAACAATAAATTCACTGAGTAGCATGTGTGCTTGTGTACCAGCATGTTTTCGTTCCCGCCTCCATAATTTCGTTATTTTGTTTTTTTTTCCAAGTCCTTGGAACCCTGGAGATGGATAGAACTACTAAAAAAAACATGCTCCACTCTTCCGAATAAACCCTAAATAAATAGTAAATACTAAATAGATTAAAATAGTACATTTGCTTCTATTTAGTATTTTATAGTAAATTCTACATACAATCACCCCCCCCAAAAAAAAACAACAAAAAAAAAACACCATTCCTCTGACAACCAATGGCACTCTTCTTTGTTGGCAATTTCGAATGCGCGAGGAGAATTAATGAAAACAACTTTTTCTTTTTTTTTTACTGCGTGAAACTTCCACCTTCACGAAGGGTTTTGTTTTTCCCACATGGGGCAAAATGCATGCAATTGTGGAAGACGGTGAAAAATGAATGGCCTGACCACATGCATGACATTGCAGAATTTCCGGAAGAGTCAGTGGCGACAATTGATATGTAATAATAATATTAGAATATCTGGTCTTTACTTACCCCTAGGCACAAGTCATCCCCTTATTTTGCTACATAAGGCGGTCTAGTCCTTCCACGCGCGTTAGGACTCTTCAACTTGCTCTTGCATACCACCTCACCCCGCCCAGATAGAACGGGAGGTCATTATCGCCAAATGGGGACCGGAAGTAGCCCCAGAGAAGATGGCTGAATCAGGTCATTACTTTTTTTAAACGCGACCGTACATTCTATTCGAGATGGACCACATGGTTTCTTCGGGTCAGATTCAACTTATTTATTTATTTTATTTTTATTTTTATTTTTTTCAAATTTCAAACATAGGTACTTAAAATCTTCGAACTTCAAAATTATCACTTGTCGAAAACGTTTTTGGACCTGATTCAAGCCTCTATTCAACGGGTGTCAAAACAGTTTTCAAGTTTCAATGTGAAAACGACTTTTTTCCAGCATCGTCAGGGGTGCGTATGAGGGCAGGCCATAGCCCACCTGCCAAGCTCAGCTGGCGAAGCCGAGAAATAGGGGAAGAAACTGTAATAGAAACCTCGGGATGAGCCTGCGCTTGTTCTCAGCAATAGCAATAAGCATCCGACCTTCGCCATGAGTCTTGTCATATGGGTCTCTCAGGGGTTGACAGTGATTCCAAGTTTCAAAGGGCTTACATTTTTTAAATTTGAAGCCCTTTTTTGAAGGGGTATTGTGTACCGTAAGGGTCAATTTTTGGTCCGGTAGCCCTATATATATATACATATTTATTTATGTAAACATCCCATGGCTGACAAATTCATTGCAAAAGTATGCCTGGGACTCTGGGACAGAGACTGGTGGTTTAAGCCTCCAGTACACTTGCCCCAGCCTTGCAGAGATTCGTTCACTGCCCACTCCGAAAATTTCGCAGCTCGCGCCTACTGGACCATGATGGGTGGCAACGCCAGCCAGAAAAGAAAAAACG